TACAGGTACACACCCCTGCACCTTGCTATCCCTTCATTTTTGAAGAATAGCTTCATGAAACATGGTTATTGGCTTTTTTTTTTCTTTTTTTTTTTTTTCAGAACCTCAAGTACAATATCCCACTGCCTCTGGCCTCCCTGGTTTCTGATGTGAAATCAGCTGTCAATCTTACTGAGACTACTTGGTCCATCATAAGTCACCCCTGTCTTACTGTTTTTAAGATTCTTCTTTGTCTTTGTCTTTGGCCATTTGATTCTGATGTGTCTTTGTGTGGATCTCTTTGAATTTATCCTACTTGGTAGTCGTTTAACTTCTTAGTTATGTGGATTTATTTATTTAATCAAGTTTGGTAAGTTTTCAGGCATTATTTCTTCAAATATTCTTTCTGCCCCTTACTCTTCATCTTCTTCATTATGTGTATGTTGTTAAACTTGACAGTGTCCCACAGATCTCTGTGGCCCTGTGATTTTTCTTCATTCTTTTTTCTGTTCCTCAACCTAGATTATCTTAATTAACCTATCTTTAGATTAGGTAATTCTTTCTTCTTCCAGCTCAAATCTGCTCTTGAGATACTTTAATCTATTTTTTTATTTCAGTTATTGGACTTCGAATAATTCCAAAATTTCTATTTGTTCCTTTCATAATTTCTCTTTATTGATACCTTCTATTAGGCATTGTTCTCATACTTTTCTTAGGCTTTTTATATAGTTTCTTTGCTTCTTTGAACATATTTGTAATAGTTGATTTAAAGTCTTTGTAAATCCATACCAAAATGTCCTCAGGAAGTTTCTACTAAGTAAACTTTTTTCTGTGTGTGAGTCATATTTTTCTGATTCTCTATATGTCTAATACTTTTTTGTAAAAAGCTATGCCTGCTAGGTCCTATAATGTGAAAATTCTGGAAATCAGATTTCTCTCTCCCCCAGGATTTTTGTTAATGCTGTTTTCTTGTGCTGATGCTGCTGTTCTTAAGCTTAGTGACTTTCCTAAAGTAATTCCATAAAACCTGTATTCATTGTCCTGTGTGGCCTCCAAGGTCTCTGATTCTTTAGCTTACTTGACATCTAATGACTAGACAAAAATATTCTTAAATGCCTTGCAATACATCTCCCAATCTTTGCCAGGGAACTCCATGTGTATGTTGGGTCATGCCTTCAGTGCCACAGCCATGAAAACACTGCTTTTAGCCTTCACTTACTGCTGTGCAAAACCTGAAGGTCAGCCGAAGTAAGAAATGGTCCCTTTCTCAGGATTTTGGGCATGTGTCCAGCCCTGTGCATGCACCTGGCCTTCTAGATTCCCAAGAATACATTGGAGGTTTTCAAAGCCATTACGGAAATAGCACTTTAAAGATTTTGGTCAGTCTCTCATTTGCCCAACTGTTAGCCCAGCCTGTCCAACCTTATATTCAAGGAGTAGTATATAAGCAAAGCCGTCAGAATTTTCAAAAGATGTTTCTTCCATATTTAGCTGTTTTTTTCTAATATAAAGTACTTCATACTGTTTATCTTTTATCCTTCCACAACACATGTTCTTATTAATTCCCATTAATTCTTACATTTTTTAATTATATTTTGTCTTATGACTGTAACTAAAAGCTCAAAACAGTGTTGATAGTACCAATAAAAGCAAGCATTATTTTTCTTTTTTCTTTTTTTGGGGGGGCAGGGGCAATGATTGTGGTTTTTGTTGTTATTGTTTGGTTTGGTTTGGTTTGGTACCACAGATTGAACCTACAGGCATTTTACCACTGAGCCACATTCCTAGCCATTTTTATTTTTTATCCTGAGACAGGGTCTCACTAAGTTGCTTAGGGCCTCACTAAGTTGCTGAGGTGGCCTTGAACTTGTGATCCTCCTGCCTCACCCTCAAGAGTCACTGGGATTACAGAGTGCACCAGTTGTTGTTTTTTATTGGAACATTATAATTATGCATAATAGTGGGATTCATTATGCCACATTCATACATACACATAATATAATTTGATCGACTTATTTATACGTATACATAACATAATTTGATGGACTTATTTCCCAGTACCTCCCTTTCCCTCAGGCATCCTTTTCTTGTATTTAATTTTTTATATCATTTTAGCTGTGTTATATTTATTTATTGTAAATTTTATTCAAGTGTAACATATACAGAAAGGTGTGCACATAATAAGTTTACTGAACTTCGTGAGTTTTCACACAACAAACCCATATAACTGGCATGAAATTTAAGAAACAGAATGTTACCAGCACCTCGGAAGCCATTCAGACCACCTTCTGGTAACTAATTTCCTTCCAAGGGCAACCACTTTGCTGCTACAACTCTACAAAATAATTTGTCTTTTGAACCATACATGAGAGCGATCATAAAATAGCTCTTAACTTCTCTCACTAACCCTCATGTTTATAAACCCATCCACGTTGCATATTTTTGCAGTTTATTCATTCTCTTTGCTGCATGGTTTTTTTCATTTAATGACCATGACACATCTATCTAACCAAACATAGATGAACATTTGGCTTATTTTCAGTTTTTCATTAATTAGAGCAGTACTATGTATCATCCTTAGGACAATAACACACCATGTCCTTGGAATACCTCATAAGTCCTCGGGAACCTAGTCAAGGCAAGGGAAGAAAAAAGAGGAAGCCCAGGCCCGGAATGTCTAGATCAACTAGAAGGACACTACTTTCTCTCATGTATGATGAGATGTATGTACATAGAGCTATCCATACACTGCTACTCTTTGCATGTATACCAAGACAGCTGCTCCTTGGCATGCTGGTCATATAAAGGACAAAGCATGCTAAGCAAGCTGATGCTGATGATGTGACTGCTTCTGTAGATTAACTTATAAAACCCCTCTCTCTGTGGTAACCAGTACAGAACTGAGAGCACTGTGGAAAGAATGTATGTCCCTCGGCTAGCTGGCCTCCGCAGGACAAAATGATCTGAGGGAGAGATGTGATTTTCTGGTGTAGAGTCATCAGGTGAGGAGATGCTACTTGGCAAAGCATCATGGGGGATGGAGGTGCTCCTGTCTAGCCATTGTCACTGGACTCTCTGGTAAAGTCTCCTATCCTGCTCTTCACACTTTGACCATCCCTGTGAGCATTTCCCAATAAACCTGATGTCTCAACCCCGCCCCCATCTCTAGGTGTCTTCCTTAGTCACTCAGCAACATACCCCACTGCCTGGGCACAACTAAGCTATAGACATTACATACTAACATAAACATTTCTGACCCTGCTATCAGTGAATAATACATGTATACATTCCTTTTTTATATAACCAGGAATGAAATTGGTGAGTCATAGGATATGACTTAGTACATACTGCCCAATAATTTTCCAAAGTGGTTTTAACAATTTAAACTCAAACTCCCATCAACAGTGTATAGGGTACCAGTTATACCATGCATCGATGCATACCTGTCATCTCAGCAACTTGGGAACTGAAGCAGGAGGATCACAAGTTCAAGGCCATCTTCAGCAAGTTAGTGAGGTCCTAAGTAATTTTTCGAGAGCCTGACCCAAAATAAAAAATTTAGAAAGGGCTGGGGATGTAGTTCATAGTAAAGTATCCTGGGTTCAATCCTTACTTTCTTAATACTAAAAAATGAAATAAAACCTCAAGGTTGAACTCAGAGCAGCATGGAAATGACAAAAGAAAGTGAATTTGAAGACAAGTCAATAGAAGGAATCCAATCTGAACAATAGAGGGGGGAAAAAGTAGGAAAAATTGTAGAGCCTCAAAGACTTGTTGCACAACCACAAATGATGAGATATTTGTGTCACTGCAGTTCCCAGAAGAATAGGACAAAGAAAGTGATGTGAAAGAAATTATTTGCAATAATAATGACTAAAAACATCTCTAGCTTGGTCAAACACCTAAACCTACAGAGTCAAGAAGTTGAATAATCCCCATACAAAATAAGCCCAGAGAAATTCACTGTTGAAAATAAAAGTCAATCCCCTGGAAGCAAAGGACTCCAGTGACAACTGACTTCTCATCAGAGTCCTTGAAACCAAAAGGAGTCACGACACTTTTCAAACACACAAAGAAAAGAATTATCCACTTAAGAGTTTACATCCAGTGAAACATCCTTCAGAAATGAAACTGAAAAAAAAAAAAAGGCACCATCAGATGAAAGAGAGAGAGAGAGAGAGAGAATTTGTTGTAAGCAGAACCGCTTTAAAAGAAATGACTAATGGGACCTCTTCATACAAGAGAGAAAAGACCAGAAGCAAATATAGAACATCAGGAATAAAGGAAGAACAGCAGAAATGGTAAACATGCAGATAAGATAAAATTAAAAACAAAGTAACTATGTACTGGAGTTTTCAGTTTATGTAGATATAAAATACAAGACAACTATAGCATAAAGTGAGTATATTAGTTTGCTAGGGCTGCCACAACCAAATACCACAGACTGGTACCTTACACAACAAATTCATTTTCTCACAGTTCTGGAGATGTTGACAGATTTGACTTCTTCTAAGTCACCTCTCCTTGGCTGGAGCTGCCTTTTGCTGTGTGTCCTCCTGGGGTCTTTCTTTTATGCATGCATATCCCTAGGGTCTCTTCTCCTGCACCCAAATTTCCTCTTTTTATAAGCACAAATACTAAATGCTGTCTATAAGAAGCTCACTTCAAATATAATGCTGTAACTGGGTGAAAATTAAAAATAGGAAAAAAAGTAACTAGGCAAACACCAATAGAAAGAAAGCTGGAGTGGCTATATTAATATCAAAGTAAAATTCAGAGGAAATATAATTGCTAGAGAAAAAGATAGATAGCACATAATGATAGAAGGGTCAATTCACCAGCAAGACATGATGCACCTAACAACAGAATTTCAAAATACATGATACAAAAGGTGACAGACCTGAAAAATGAATAAGAAAACTCTACGATTATAGTTGAAAAACTTCAACACTCCTTTCTAAGTAATAGATCATATAAACATTAAAATGTGCAAAAATATAGCCAGGTGAGGTGGCACATACCTGTAATCCTAGCAGCTCAGGAGGCTGAGGAAGGAGAATCACAAGTTCAAAGCCAGTCTCAGCAATTTATTGCTTGCTAAGCAACTTAGCAAGACCCTGTTTCAAACTAAAAAATTAAAAGGGATAGGGATGTGGCTCTGTGCTAAACATCCCTGGGTCCAATCCCTGGTATCAAAAAAAAAAAAAAAAGTGAAATACAGCAGAACTGAACAATGCCCCATCAACAACTAGATCTTATTAACATTATAGAAAACTCTGCCGAACTCGACACAGTACACACTATTTTAAGCGCACATGAAACTTTCACCAAGCTACATCCTATAGTATAGCATAAAACAGACCTTAACTGCCACAGTCCGGCTGCAGCAAAATAACCGGCGGGGTGACGAGCAACTTGTGTAGATTGATACAGCAGGAGTGGAAGCTGTTTATTGCAGGACAGGAGCAGTATTTATACATTCCACACAGCTTATCTAATTAGCATAAACTAGATACATCAGTCAACCAATAAGGAATCTCCACACTTAATGGCTTGCTTTTGTTACTTCTCAAACCACTCCCTCTGGCATTTTGCCAGGCACCATCTAGACTTGTTTACGAACTTTAACATTCCCCTGGCAAAATGCCAGGTGTTATTTTGACTTGTTTACAGACTCTAACACTTAACAAATTTTTAAAAACTGAAATTAAACAAAGCAATCCTCAGATAATAATGACATTAAGCTAGAAATCAAAAACAAAAAGAGAATTTTAAATCCCCAACACTTGAAAATTAAATGACCCTTTTCTAACCAATTCAAGGGTCAAAGAGGACAACTCAAGAGAAATCAGAAATTATTTTGAACTGAACTGCAATTAAACAAAATTTCAGATGCAGCTAAAGAAATTCTTAGAAAGAAATTCTTAACACTATTTATATTTTTAAAAACTGTTATAAGTCAGTACTGGAGCTCCCAGCTTAAGAAACTAAGAAAAAGAAGAAGATCAAAATAAATCAAAAACAAGAAAGGAAATAATAAAAATAAGAGAAACAATCAATGAAACTGAAAATAGAACAATAATGGAGACGATCAATGAAGCCAAAAGGTGGTTGTCTGAGACCAGTCCAGTTGATAAACCACCAACAAGACTGACAAAAGAAAAAGGCAGAAATCAAATCACTAAAACCAAAAAGAAAAAATGGTATTTCACTACCAATACTGAAGAGAATGAAAAGAAGATTAGGAATAACTCCATGCAAAAAAATTCAAAAATTTAAATGAATTGGAACAATGCCTCAAAAATCACAAACCACCAGCTAGGCACAGTGGCACATGTCTGTCATCTCAGCTACTTGGGAGCCTGAGGTAGGAGGACCACAAGTTTCAGGTCAGTCTGGGCAATTCGGCAGGACCCTGTCTCGAATAAAAGAATTAAAAGGGCCGGGGATGTAGCTCAGTGGTAACGTACCCCTGGGTTCAATTCCCAGTACCAAACACACACACACACACACACACACACACACACACACACAAAGATTAAATGAGTAATCCAAACAGTTCTGTAACTATAAAGAAAGCAAATTCATAGTTTAAAATCTTCCCCTTCAAAAGAAAAAACTCTCCAGGCCCAGATGACTCTAACTAGAGAATTCTACCAAACACTTACAGAAGCAATAACACCAATTCTAAACAATCCTCTTCAGGAAACAGAGGAGGAAGGAACACTTCCCAACTCATTTTATTAGGTTAGCATTTTCCCTGATACACAACCAAAGATAATATGAGAAAAGAAAACTATAGACCACTATCTCCCATGAACACAGACCTAAAAATACTCCACAAAATATTAGCAATTTGAATCTAGCAAATATAAAAAGGACAACACACTACAATTAAGTGGGGCTTATCCCAGCACTGCAAGCCTGGTTCAATATTCAGAAACCAATCAACATAATCCACTATATTAACAATCAACAAGGAAAAATTGCACATTTGTATCAAATCATGCACAAAAGACACTCAACAAAATTCAATACCCGCTGTGTGCTGTGCGCTGCACGTGGCACAACCTGTATTCCCAGCAGCTCCTGAGGCAGGAGGATCGTGAATTCAAAGCCAGCCTCAGCAAAAGTGAGGCACTAAGCAACTCAGTGAAATCCTGTCTCTAAATAAAATGCAAAATGGGGCTAGGGATGTGGCTCAGTGATCAAGTGCCCCTGAGGTCAATTCCTAGTACAAAAAAAAAAAAAAATTCAATACCATTTATTATTCAAAAAAAAAGTTCTGCATACACTAAGAATAGAAAGGAACTTTTTCAATCTGATAAAATGCATCATATACTAATATATCATTCATAGGAAATGTTTGCAGGCAATTTCAAAGTCCGTGGATGGTGGTGTTGAGTAGTGGTGATAGAATAATTTTAATACTTTAATATTTTTTAAAATAATTTTAGGCTGAATTTTTTTAATTTTTCCTCCTGCCTCATCCTAAAATTAATTATTAAATTATTATTAAGTAGATTTTTTTTCATTTTTCTTTCCTACACATTCAGCTATAAAACAATCTTTAATTTTTTTTTTTCATTTTTTACTTTTTAGTACTGGGAATTGAACCCAAGCATATTTACTACCAGGCTACATTTCTAGCTCTATTTTTTTTGTTTTGAGACAGGGTCTCCCTAAGTTGCTTAGGGCCTCACTAATTTGCTGAGGCTGGCCTTGAATTTGTAATCCTCCTGCCTCAGCCTTCCAAGGGATTACAGGTGTGTGCACAGCTATAACAACAATCTTAACTTCAAGTCTAAAGTCCAGTCCAGACTAAAACAAAACTTTGCTCTTGTACCCTATCACTTCTTCATGCAGGGCTGGGCATTAACTCAGTTGACAGAGCGCTTGCCTAGCATGAATAAGGCCCTGAGTTTGATACCTAGCCCTGATAAAAAAAAAAAAGTGCTTTAGGGCTGGGGCTGGGGATCAGCGGTAGCGCACTTGCCTGGCATGTGTGAGGCACTGGGTTTGGTTCTCAGCACCACATATAAATAAATAAAATAAAGGTCTATCAACAACTAAAAAATAATTAATTAAAAAAGTGCTTTATACAGCATTAACTGGGGATCTGCCATGGACAGGGCTATAGCAGACACTATCAGGGTTTTGCTTGGGTCCCTTCACCCTTTTCACCGGCACCTGGTCCCCAGTATGATTATATATTTAAACAGCCAGCACCAGTGTCTCTGTCAGAGGACTGTCCTCGTGCATCAACTGGGCACATGGAGGGCAGAAGTATCTTGGGGTGTGCATTTTTGCCAATCACAACTGCCATTAACCCATGACTGGAGGGGTGACAGCTCCCTTGTTCCTGATGGGAACGACTCTGAAATGTGCCCTATGTTATCTTCATTGCTCCCCTGAGGAACTGGCCTTAAAAAAAATTATTCTATCACCACTGGACTTTGAAATTGCCTGCAAACATTTCCTAATGAATCATTTTCACAAGGATCCTCATCTCGAGGTCTGTTCTGGGACAGGCATCATAGACTTCTGCTCTGCCTTCCTCTATTGCAAGGTAAAGAAGAATTCAAGGGCACAGGCTGGTGCTACTATGGCCGTCAAGGTGCTCTTCACAGCAAGCATCCGACACTGGCCTTTCATGAGGCCTAGTAGTGGTGCCTCAGAGAAGCCTTTGGAATCCCTCTGCTCCATGGCAGTGCCTCCTTCCCAAAGATGGCGCACTCTGGTTCACATCAGTTTGTGCTCCGACTGCAGCTGTGCACCCACAGCCTCTTTCAGCCTCTCTCTGCCTTGCAGTCCCTTGGGGAGGGTCCTTCCTAAATGGCTCAAGCCTGACATCCGTCTCACAAGTTCCCTGACACTCCTGCCTGCCAGGCCACTAAGCATAGTTTGATCAACTAATAAATGGGACAGGTGTTAGCCATCCAATTCTCCTCTCAAAAAGCAGAGGTGAGACTGGCGCAGTGCCAGTCCCTAGGTTCAAGCCCTTGTACAAAAGGAGAAGGAGAAGGAGAAAAAGAGGAAGAGGAAGGGGAAGAGGAAGTGGACAGGGAGTGGGAGGAAGAGGAGGAGGAGGAGGAAGTGACTGAGGAAGAGGAGGAAGTGACTGAGGAGGAGGAGGAAGTGACTGAGGAGGAGGAGGAGGAGGAGGAGGAGGAGGAAAAAGAACAAGAAAAGGAAGGGGAAGGGAAAGAAGAGGAAGAAGGAGAAGGAGAGGAGGAGGAAGAGGAAGAGATAAGTCTCTTTCTTTATGATTACTACAATCCTCCTGAACACAGAGCCACAGACTTCCCTAAAACCCTTCCTGATCCTCTCACGTGCCAGTCCACGGGGATCCCAGCAACAACTCAGCTTTACCATCTTGCCTGGTAGGGAGATGCCTGTCTCAGCCTCTCGAATACAACTAGTCTCTGCAAATGGTTCCCTTGGGACTCTGTCACCTGGCTCGTGAGGATATGAAGAAGTATCCCCTTTCTCATTTGGAGAGAAAACAAGTTGAATCCCTCATTGCATCTAAGAACTCTCTTAAAGTCATCTCCATCAGAGACCAACAGATGAGAAAATTCGAGAATGGGGATCAAGGAAGATGGGAGAAGAGGGAAGGAGAGGTTCTGGGGAATGAAATTGACCAAATTGTTATGCGCTTATATGAATATATCACAATGAATCCCGATGTTATGTATAATTATAATGTGTGTGCCAATAAAATTAGTTTAGAGAGTTTAAAATCTCTCCATTGGTGATTGTTTTGCCCCCTGTTAGGCCTGTCTAGATGAATCCAGAACCCAGCAACTCTATTTTTTGTTCTATTCTGTTTCACGTTTTAAGATTTTAAAAATAACTTTTATTTGTAAAACAGTAACTCTTGATTTTTAAACACATGGCCACTACCAACAGTCTTTCTCAGTTTGGGGAATTCAGCCAAATTTTTATAAAAACAGGAATAGTATCATTTAACCTTCTATTTCATCCATCATTTTTCTCAGTTCCCAATTGGTCCTGCCAAGATTTTAATCAGACTAATCTGTTTTGGAAATGTGTTTCTGTTTAGAGGATGAAAAGATGAGTTATGGACTTGGAGAAAATATTTGCAGAACACAAATCCAACAAAGAAACAGTATCTAGTATATACAAAGAATTCTGAAAACTCAACGGTTAAAAAAAAAATTAGAGGGGCTGGGGTTATGGCTCAGCCGTAGAGCACTCGTCTTGCACATGCAAGGCCCAGAGTTCAATCCTCAGCACCATATAAAAATAAATAAATAAATAAAGTTATTAAAAATAGAAAATGGGCAAAAGGCATGAAGAGACATTCTACTGAAGAGGATACAGAGATGGACAATAATCACAGGAAAGATGCACAAAAAAAGAGATATAGCAGCTCGTGCCTGTAATCTCAGCTACACCAGAGACTGAGGCAGGAGGATTACAAGTTTGAGAACAGCATGGGCCACTTAGTGAGACCCTGTCCCAAAATTAAAAAAAAAAAAATTAAATGAGCTGAAGATGTACCTCACTGGTAGAGCATTTGCCTACCATGTGGGAGACCCTAGATTCAATCCCAAATACAAAAGGAGGAGGAGGAGGAGGAAATCATTAGCCATCAGGGAAGCTCATATGAAAACCGCAATCATACATCACTACATGCCTATCAAAACAAATAAGATTTTAAACAATATTGACAACAACCAAAGTCAGGGGAGAAATAAACAAACTGGATCATTAATACACTCTTGGTGAGTATAAAATGGTACCACAACTCTGGAAAACAGTTTGGCAATTTCTTCTACAACTAAACATGCAATGACTATATGACCTAGCAATTGAACTCTTGAGCATTTATCCCAGATAAATGAAATTTTATGTTCACACAAAACCTTGTACATAAGTTTTCATAACTGATTTATTTGCAATAGCCAAAAACTAGAAACCCCCTCAGAGGTCCTTCAATAGGCAAACATTAAAAGACACAAGTACTCCATGCCTTGGAATACTATTCAGTGATAAAAAGGAATGAAATACAGACACGTGCACCAACTTAGGTAAATCTCCAGGGAATTAACATTGAATGAAAATAAGCCAATTCAAAAGGGTTACATACTATATGACTCCATATATATATATATATATATATATATATATATATATATAATTCTTGAAATTACAAAATTATAGAAAGAGAGAACAGGTTTGTGGCCACCAGGGTTTAGGAACTAGATAGGGTATGGAGCAGGGGGCTGCTATAGGTGTGGATATAAAAGTCAAGATAAAGGATCCTGGGCTGGAGATGTGGCTCAAGTGGTAGCGTGCTCACCTGGCATGCGTGCGGCCCGGGTTCGATCCTCAGTACCACATACAAACAAAGATGTTGTGTCTGCCGAAAACTAAAAAATAAATATTAGAAAAAAAATTCTCTCTCTCTCTTTTAAAAAAAAAAAGGATCCTATGGTGATGGAAATGATCTATATCTTATATCAATGGTTGTGGTATTGTGCAATATACTTTTAAGATGTACAACATATATTTCAAGGCCATTGGAGGAAATTAGGTAAAGGTCACATAGGATCTCTCTGTATTATTTCTTAGACCTGCATATGAGTCTCCAATTATCTAAAATTTTACTAAATTATCTGAAGTTTACTGTTTAAAATGGGTTTTAAACAAAGAACGAGTAATCCAACCAATAAATGGGCAAATGAGCTGAACAGAATCTTCTCAAAAGAAGTACAAATGACCAATGAATGTATGGAAAAATGTTCAATATCTTTAGCCATCAGAGAAATGCAAATCAAAACTACAGTGAGCTTTCATCTTCCCTAGTCAGAACAGCTACTATCAAGAAAAGAGAAAGTATATTACATGCTGGTGAGGGTGTGGGAGACAAGGAACCTTAATCCACTGTTGGTGGGGAATGTATATTAAAACAGCTGTTACAGAAAACAGTATGGAGGTTCCCCACAAAACTAAAGACAGAATTAACATACGATCCAACTGTACCATTCTTGGGTATAAACCAAAGAAATGAAACTCAACCTACAAAAGAGATACTTGCACACTCACGTTTATCAAAGCACTATTCACAATAGCTACGTTATAGAATCAGCCTAGATACCCATCAATAGATCGATGGATAAAGAAAATGTGGAATACACACACCACACACACCGTGGAGTACTATTCAGCCATAAAAGCAAAAATCATGTCATTTGCAAGAAGATGGATGGAACTGAGATCATCACGTTAAATGAAATAAGCCAAATTCAGAAAGACGAGTACAGCATGTTTTCGCTCGTATGTGGAATCTAAAATAGAGAGAGATGTGAAAATAGAAAGGGAATTTTTAGGGAAGGGAAAGGAGGACAAGGGGGAGGGGTGGCAAGAGAGGATAGAAGTGAGGGTGGATGCAATCACAAACATTATACGTGAAAATAAATAAATACGGCAACTACTTACACAGAGAATAGTTAAATAATATATGGCATATCCATACCTTGGCATTCTCTTCAGCTGCTAAATTTGATGAGATAAAACCTTAAAGGTAATGAACAATGTTCACAAGACGTTGCAGAGTGAAAAATTAAGCTATGTTATTATTTGGTGTAGCATACATGGGTGTACACAGAAATTGTTCTAACAGAGCACTCAGAAATAGTTAACTCTGGGGAGAAGCAGAAGGGAGAGAGGACACTGTGTGTGTGTGTGTGTGTGTGTGTGTGTGTGTGTGTGTAACAGTATATATTACTTTGTCATTTTAAAATGGGGGTGGTACTGCTGGGGATGTAGCACAGGGGTACAGTACTTGCCTTGTATGCCCAAGGTCCTGGGTTCCATCCATAAGCACCATGAATACAAGTAAAATGCAATCCTTAAAGATGTGTTTAAGGTCAGGTTCCAAATGATCTTGGAAAGGGACATGTATCAACTGTGGAAATGGTTGGAGACACCTTGTGTTGGATATATGTCTAAATCTGTTTGAGGCCGCAAAGAAGCAGCCATGCTGAAAGGGGTGGGCAGGAGTCTTACTGAGCCTTCTCCCCCTGGCAAACATTTCCCCTGGAAGCTGAAGTTGGAGCAGGGGTGTTCTCTGCAAAACCCAATTTGGGGAGATCCTAAATGCAGAAAAAGTTTCTCCTTCAGGAACTCTAGGAAGCTGGGGGGTCCCCTCCAACCCATCTGAGTGCCAACCACTGAGCCTTGTTTCTCCACATCTCTTCTGTCCCCTCCCCAACCAGGGTCCCTGGGGATTGGTGTCAAGGAGCAGAGCCTAGAACTTACACCCTACTCCTCCAGAATCTCCTCTCTCCTGTTCCTTGCACTCTGCATGCCCCAATCCCAAATAACCAGGCCGCAAAGAGTTTCAAGTATTTATTTCTACTCCATTGAAGCCACTGAAAATTGTAATAACTACAACAAAGAACTGTGGAAAGAGGCAGGCCCTCAGCCTTCCCAGGATCTGAAACAAACCACCCCCTTTTCTACTTTTCTTCAACCTCTCCCCATAACCCAGACTCGCTTTTTCCTCCTTTCTGTAGAATTCCCAGTAGAGAAGCCAGGGTCGGTGCGGGGATGGGGTGCGCGTTAGAGATGTGCTGGGGCCGGGCTTAGTCAGTGCTATTCCGCTTCATCTCGCACGCCCAGCGGTTCACCTCTAAGCAGAAGTTGTCGTTCCAGCGTCCATCTGTCAAGAGCTCAACACAGTCTTCACTTCTGCCCGGCTCATGGCCCTGCCAGTTGTCTGGCTGAGTGATAGCCCAGTTCCTAAGAAGACAAGACAAAGCCCAAGATCTGACCAGGCCACATCCTAGCAACCCTGCCCCCACCCCCAACTCCAGAAAAACACAGCCTTGGGGCAGGTTCAGAGCAAGAAGGTGCAGCCTTAGAGACAGGGAGTGGGAAAGGAGAGGGTTGAGGAATTTGGTCCCCAAAAGGACCTCAGGGAGTCTGTTAGGGCCAAAAGCCCTGTGGCTGTCCCCAAGGCAAACTAACAAGAGGATAGATAGAGCCCTCTTACCTATAGCTATGCCTGTAGTCAGTTCCATCCACCCATTTCCAGGAGCCATCGCTGTCAGTGAGTCCTATCCAGATATGAAAGGCGCCTGTGTGTTGTAAAATGAATTTCTGGAAAAACAGGGGGGTGAGGCTGCTAGTTCCTTGTTCCTTGGACCTTTTTCCTTCATCCATGCAGGCATCCGTGTGCCTCCCTCAGCCTTCTCCAGCCGATCTGTCTCCACTGAAGCATCAGTTCCCAACACAACCGTTCCCTTGGTTTCCCCTCTGTCATCGGAGCTATTGTCAGTGAACACTCACTGGGCTAAACTTTGTGCTAAGTGCTTTCCAGGGACTATTTCATTTAATCCTCAGAAGCTCTCTAAGTTGGGTGCCAGACAACTCACATATTGCAAGGTAAGTTGTTAGAGCCCAGAGAGCCAATCCAGGATCTAGTTTGTGACCACTGTCCTCTGGGGCCCACTCCATTCCCATTATATCTGCTATTCTGACTCTGGTTTGCTCCCTGTCTTCTTCCCTCAGCCTCAGACTCATGGAATTCCTATTCCTGCTCTCCACCAAGACCCCCAAACCCATTAAGGATCTTGGTTTCACTTGCCTCTCAGGTTTAAATGCCCTTACTTGTTTCTGCCTGCAATCTCCCACCTCTTAGCATCAATGGCTGCTCGACTATGAACCCCCCAGGGCTCTACCACACTTCTGCTTCTGGACTCTTCCTTAGGTTAAAAAGACAAAAAGAAACCTGATGATGGGAACCTCCTGACTGAGCCTGAGTTCAAGGTTTCCTCCTGCCTTTGGGAAGCTTGGCCTCACCTGCTCCTCTCTGGAGTTGATGACCACCAGGTGGGCATTCTCTAGCTGGCAGTACTTGTCGGCCTCAGACCAGGTCTTCCCAGCACGAGAGAACCAGTAGCAGCTGCCTTCATGTTCCACCCAGTTAACAGGACAGCATTCTGTGCCTGAGAGGATAGGGGCAGAGGGAGATGAGATCTAGCCGGAAGGGACAAACACAGTGAGACCGGGCATGCCCTGTCCTTACCGTTGCTCTGGAAAAATGCCATCTGACATGTCAGGATACGCAGATCTAGTGGGAAGTGCTTCAGGTGAAGGAGCAAGGTGGCATGATCTAGGGGGACAGATGGACAGACAGCAATGCAGTAAACATGTGGGTCCCCCACCTGCCAGCACCAGGCACAAGAATCCAGCTGTTGGCTGGGGATGCATGCACACACACAAAAAAAAAAACCAAACACACATACCACACAACCCACCACACTATACACACACCACACATAGAAGCACACCACACCACAAACACACACACCAGACATACCACACCACATACACACCTAACACACACACAACCTACCACACATACACATAAAGCTCACACATAGCACACACACACATACAAACACATACCACAATCCACACACACATCACACCCAGTGCATACACACCACACCATCCACATACTCAGGGAGGGCCTCTGACCTGCTTTTAGGTCCTGCTGATGTTTCTCCAGTGTGGCTCCCAGGGATGTCACCTTGTCACCTGCAATGTCCCCTGAAAAGGGAGAAGCTAAGTGGTTTCGCCTCTGTTCTGCCTGCTGACCATGCCTCCAGCCTCACATCTCTGGGAATCAGTTGGGGACCATCACCTTGTCCAGGATGTTATGTGGTCTACCACCTGAACCCCTCAGGCCACCCAGGCTCCCCACACCACCAGAGAGACTCAGGACACTGCACTGTATAAGTTCTTTCACTGGATCCCCATGTTCTTGCAACCAAGCCCCACTCAGCAAGCACATCTTGCTGCAAAGACTGGCCCCATACCATTCTCTGCCTGATAGCCCCCGCCCCACCAATTAGCTCACCTCATGCTAAAATTGTCCATAAGTCCCAAAATGTGCATTGTTCTTCCTCATCTCCGGGCTGTCCCAGATTCTTCTCTCCATCACTAACCTCTCTCTTCTTCACCTACATGATCTGATTCATCCTCAAGGCCCATCAGGTCAGGGGCCAACATCCTTGGAAGCCTTGCCCAACTTCTTGGGCTGGGTTACCTACCTCAGTCTGAGTCTACACAGCCCCTAACCATGTCCTTATTGCAGACTCAGCACAGAGCCTGGCAAACTTCTCTGGATAAATTATCACCAACCAGCCAGCCCACTCACCATGGGAGCCCAGAGCCTGGATTTCCATCAGGGTGCTGGAGGAGAAATTGCTGAAAGATTCTTTTAGGGTCCGCAACTCTGCTTGCAGCTGTGTGCCTTGTCAGGAGACAGTGGGAACAAGATGGAGTGTGGGCTATGTCTGCCATCACTATCTGCATGACTGCCCCTCTCTTCACCTGTCACTGCACCATGATTGGTCCCATCGTTCCCCCATCATCAGCCCCCATTCGCACCCTGTACAGTCCCCATGCTGCCTCCACCTCTTCTCCTCTCAATAACCCCATTACTGCCCACGACACTGCCCATCACTTTTCCCCACCCCTGCCTTATCCCTGCCAGCCCTGTGACTCTCACTTTGGGACCCAATTACACAAACAGCCACCAGCAGCAGGATATTGAAACCCAGGGAGAGCAGATTGAGATAGAGCCTGGAGCAGAGGCGCTGTGGAAGGGGCTGGGGAAGACGTGACCCTGTGAGAGAGAGAGTGTCATGAGCCAGGCATCCAAGGGCACAGAAGTCTGAGGAGACACAGCCTGGTTGGGGAAGAAACCAGGTGGGGGACTGTGGGACATTCAGCAGGTTTTGACACTAGCATTGGGGCATTGCACACACACACTTGCACCCCTATGAAAGTGTGTGGCATGCACATGCCCCTACACAGTACTCATGCACATGACACAGTACACACATCAGCTGTGTGCAAAGCTGAGATCTTGGACATGGAACAGGGAGACACACAGGCATCTGGGGGAAAGACCTGGCCTTTATTAGACACACACTCTAAGAAAGTAGGTCTATGAATGGTTTCCCCTCCTGCCCACCTGCTGGAATGACCTGCAAATCACCTCTGGCCTTAATCTCTGCCCTTCCACAGCCCCTGTCCCTTCCGACTGTTTCCCTAGAGGCTGGGCCCTGTGTTCTTAAATTCAATGACTGCATCCCTCATACAAGTACAAACCTGAAATAATCCCTCTCTTCCCAAAACTCCACTAGGATCCTTCAGTCCAGGTCATTCCACTCCCCAAGGGACACCCCTCATCTTCTCAGACTCAGATTCTCTTCCCCCAATTCCCACTGCCTTTGTCCCCCCTGAAACCCAAGTTCTATTGTAAACACTCTCTCCTGAGCCCCCATCATCCCACAGTAACCTCTCCCACCCCTTGATCAGTCTGCACCTGACCTCACACTCACACACACACACACACACACACACACATTTTTCATTACACTCTCACATGCACACACACACTCATTAACACACATTCTGAAATACTTTCACTTACTCACCTATTGATACTTACTTTCTTACACCTCCTCACACACATATGAACACTGACACACATTATTCACACCCCCACATCTTCATGTGCACAAGCTGGCCTGCCCCACTGCTGGCTCTCCAAGTCCAGAGGATGACGGTTCTCCCAGCCCTGAGCTCCTGCTTTTGCACCATCCACCTGCACTCACACACTTCCTCTTTTCTGCCTTGGACCCTGCCTCTGTGGACCTCCTTCTCTCCTTAGCACCCCAACATGCTAGGGAGGTTCAGTCAGAAGCCCAGAATCTTCCTTTTCAGGTCATCTCTTACCACCATCCTGAGTTGGACACTGACCCTGTGAGCGACCATCCAGTACTCAAGACCTTCTTACACTAATGAATGTCACCTTCCTCCACTGCAGCACACTCAGAGCCATCTTGGCCAGGAGAAGCTATGCCTTTGAGGCCTCTACTGCCCACATCCCCTCAGCAAAACCTCTCCTGCCTCTTACCTCCCCCCACATCCTCCCTGATGCTTTTGCTTTCTCTTCTGCTATGGTTAGAATGTGTTCCCCCCAAGAAAAAGATACACTCATACATTGCTGGTGGGACTGCAAATTGGTGCAACCACTTTGGAAAGTATTGTGGAGATTCCTCAGACAACTTGGAATGGAACCACCATTATGACCCAGCTATCCCAGTCCTTGGTCTATACCCAAAGGACTTAAAATCAGCATACTATAGTAACATAGCTGCACCAATGTTTATAGCAGCTGAATTCACAATAGTAAACTGTGGAAGCAACCTAGATGCCCATCAATAGATGAATGGATAAAGAAACTGTGGTATATGTACACAATGGAATATTACTCAGCATTAAAAGATAATAAAAAGTTGGGCATAGTGACGCACACCTGTAATCCCAGCGGCTCAGGAGGCGGAAACAGGAGGATCATGAGTTCAAAGCCTCAGCAAAAAGCGAGGCATTAAGTAACTCAGTGAGACCCGTTTCTAAATAAAATACAAAAACAGGGCTGGGGATGTGGCTCAGCAGTCAAGTGCCCCTGAGTTCAATCTCTGGTATGGGGGTGGGGGGGAGAGAGAGAGAGAGAGAGAGAGAGATTAAGGTATTTGCAGGTAAATGGATGGAGTTGGAGAATATTATGCTAAGTAAAGTAAGCCAATCCCAAAAAACTAAAAGCCGAATGTTTTCTCTGATCAGTGGATGATAATCTATGCATGGGAAGCATGGGAAGAATAGAGGAACTTTGGATTGGGCAAAGGGGAGGGTGGAGAGGGGTTAGCGGGTACGAAAGCCAGTGGAATGAGATGGACATCATTAGCCCCAGGTACATGTATGATTGCACGAATGGTGCATCTCTACACCATGTACAACCAGAGAATTGAAATGTTGCACTCCGTTTGTGTACAATGAATTTAAATGAATTCTGTTGTCATGTACAACTAAGTAGAACAAATTAAAAAAAAAAAAGCTTAAAGGTCAGCAGGTGGAGTTCTATTGAAATGGTAAAACCTATAGTATTAACTACTAGAACTGTTCATTTTAAGTAGGTGAAATAGTTATAAGTGGGATGGTCATGGGAGTGATGTTATTGGAGATACAGATGCCAGCAAAAATGCTGCCAATTGTAAGATGTTTCATTGAATTAATCAATAAAAAGTTATTTTCATTAATACAAAAAAGAATATGCCCCACCCCCCAGTGATGGAAACTTGATCCTCAATGCAGGAGTGTTGTGAGATGGAACATAATGGGAAATAGATTAATGCCATTATTGTAGAACCAGATTCTTTATTAAAGCTTCTCTCCTGCGCTCTCTCTCTCTCTCTCTCTCTCTCTCTCTCTCTCTCTCTC